AGAAACAGAAAGTTAAAGTTACCGCGGATGAGAGTGACTTCATCGCTCGCTGATAATACAGTAACACAACCAAAGCTATGGAAGAGTTAATTCCCGTAGTTGCGGAATGAAGTGCCATTTTATCGACCCAGCGACATGACGTTAGCATGAAACGCCATGCTTTTGTCAGGAAGAGCCATGTTTCTTCGCCTAAAATCGAGGAAGGATACGTTTTCGGTGTTAACAGCTGGGTGAGTCTGAACAAAGGCTATTGAATTTATCTTAAGTATTTCTTGTGGCAGTTACGCGTAACTAACGGGGGTGGCCCGCGTGCAAGACCACATCAATGTAAACAGACATTATATACATCCAACAGCGGCCCAATTTTAGTCTTATCAGATCTGATTTTTTAGCGTTTTCACTTTTGAATGTTTTCCTTTTTCTACCTTTATCTAGGGTGCGTTAGAGACCTTCACATGCGTGACAAATATCTGAAAACTTTTTGCATTTTACGGCGCACGGTTTCTGTCTTGTGAGACCCTTTAATCTGTCGCAGGTTTTCAAGAGAGAAAAAGCTACTGCACGGCCTAAACGATAAAATCTTTATTCAGGATTTCGTTATATTTTGTGGACGAGACCGAATATCGATAATATTTTAACACTTTGATAACTTTATCTTTATGGCCACTTTTTTGTTTCAAAAACTGAAGAGGAAAAGAGCGTGATGTATTTTCATCACTTTTCCTATTTTTGTTTCTGGCGGAAACCGTAAACATTTTAGTAAAGTACGCGTTCTTTGTTCGAAAGAAAACCGTTTAGACCGTTTACAATGTACAGTTATATTGCGGAAGAAATTTTTATAACTTTTAATATCTTGACGTTATGCTAATTTTGCAAATTATGATCTCTTTAGAGGCTTCATAGCATTGTGTCTGTTATAGGCGTATTATGCATTTACTGTGTCGTAGTTAATTATAATGACCTTTTGAAGTACACCATATTTTAAAGAGTGCGTCTGATGTGATGATTGTTAAATTCAGTCCTTTTTTTGTTGTTGTTTAGTTTTTGTTTTGAGCAGTTTGCCAAAATTTAAGAATGACAAAGATCTTATTTAAGGCTCAAAGTTCGTTTTTGTTGAAGAAGATTCGTTGGAAATATTCAGTATAGTCCTTTGAGAATATGTTTTAAATGTCTGCATCGAACACACATTTATTTCTTGACATTTATATTGATGTAACTTATCTGAGAACATGTTGAGAACATCTTCGGCCTAGAAATGTGCAGAAAGAGAAGTTACCCCTCATTTTGTCGTCGACCAGTGTACATGAATCAAATTTGTTTTACTCGATTAATCCTTACCGCTTGTGTCAATAGTAAAAACTTGCCACGAAGTCGAATTTTTAACTTATCACTCCTGTGTATCGACTTTTACTTCGTTTCATTTGTTTTACTGAATCCACCTCCAGTCAGCTAGAATTTCACTTTTGGTCGGGAGTTAAAGTGTGAAAGGTAAAGCGATGCGTGATTGTCGTGCTCCATTGTCAGAATGAAAGTGTACGAAATATTTTATTTGCTTACCTTGCAGACCAATATAGGGATAGATTTCAAAAGATGTGGGTGGATGTACAAATTGATCAGATTAGTCAAACATGAAAAGTTACCTTAAGACTGAATTTTTCTTTTACACATTTGTGTTTCGATAAGTGCTCCGCAAAGTTTAAAGTAAATCAGTCTTTTTTACTTGGAGAAGAAACTCCTTTGGAACAAGAGTAATTAAGACTTCAAACTCACAGTTACTACCAAAGTTTCATTTTCCTAGACCTTCAACCATGTCTTTGAAAGGAACGCAAAAAGGAAAAGATGTTAGTTTGCTGCTGTTTTACTCTTGAAGATAGCTCTAAACTTCGCGTTTGAAATTCGTGTTTATTATGCTGCAATAAGTAAGCTAGGGATTTACAAGGTAAACGTGCTTTAAGACATCACAACAAAGATAAATAATGCTATTAAGAAAGATTTCCCTGATTAAAATATTGTCATAAATAACATGTAGCTTTAGAGACCCAGCTCTCGTTTTAAAATGGCCAAACTTAGAGGCAGCTTCCCTCGGCGATAAATCAAGTTCGGCCAATCATTTAAAATTGATAGCGATCCATTGACGCAATCTCTCCATCATTTCCGGTTGGTAACTCGTAATGTGGCTCGATGAATTTTCATTAGTTTGGATTAGGCAGCATTCTTATTAAAAATTTACGTACCGCTGTAAATAGTTTAATGTCCGCAAATTACGAAAGGTGACAGGTAACTGTTGTATGGAACAAGCCGCCATCATTTCCTCCCAAGACATTGGTTAGTGATATTAAAGGACGACTTTTGACAGTTCCCGGTCCCCTTAACGAGCGAAATCTAGAGAGAAAAATTCCTAGGGTCTGGGGGATAGGGGGGATACGGAGGCTGCATCCGCCCCCGAGGGCTATTTGCACTTTCCTCGGATTTATTTTACCAAAAGAATTCAGAAACGTCGGAGCAGTGAGCCTTTTGTAACTTCTGAGATAGCCTCAGGTGAGCACGTTAACTGTCTGCTGTAGATTTGACTGCAGCTTTGCATCTTAAAATAGTGTGATGATACAGAAATACGTCGTACTTAGTTTTTATCTCAGGTAATTTTTAATTTCCCTTTGTTTCAACTTCATTAGCATACATTACCAAACCCAGAAACAAAAGACTAACAAAAATTACATGAGATAAATAATTAACTGCAATAAATACACCGCTACCAAAAAATGTCCAGAGTTCACCTTGCCCCCCCGCCTTTTAGGAGGGTGGGGTTGGGGGGCGGGCTTACGTTGTGTCATGTAGTGTGTGTTTACTTTATCATCATGAAGGTCATGACAGTAGAGGAGACGATTACCAAACAAACTCTCCTTTTTAGCACGATAGGAAACGTACGAAGAACGTGGGGAGAATATGCGTTTTGATATACGGGCTTTTCAGTATTACACCAGTCGGCTCTTTCACAGGGTGCGCATTGTGCAGACATAATAATTAGAAACAAAAATAAATAAACACAAAAATCAAACGCCTTATCAATATCCAAAATTTTCTAACGTTCTAAACAGTATACACTCGGCTTTCCATTCACTTTGCATAGGTTTGTTTTCTCGAACTAGCTGTATATTCATCCTCGAATGTTTATTATTTCAATCCAAGCCTCCTTGGTTCCATTCACGACGTGATGAAAATCTGGTGCATTGTTCTTACTCGCTGTTCAATATTGTATCTTTTTAACAAACAGGAAAATGGAGATCCTTCTGGAATATAAAACGAGGCAGTAATAGCAACCGCCGAAGAATATTGCGTGTTATTTTCAGGTTCTATGACTCGTGTGTTTCGACCAATTGCGTGCCCCGAGCCTTGTGTGCTGGCAAAGTATATTAAGTGGTCACTTTAGATGATGGTTTTATATCGTGCTATTTACTGTGTTGTGCAGACTGCTTTGATTTCTTTGCTGCTGTTGTTGTTTGTACTTTTACTGGCTAACAAGTTGCAACTGTAATGAGTAAAAGCTTGTTATTGGAGGCTCTGAAGGTAGGGATGATGTTTAGGGAAAAGTGCATTGTCGTTTTCACAGCTAAAGCAGTGCACACGAGATTCTATACGATTACATTCACAAGCCTAATTAGGATGAATTTAGTTCGATAACAACTTTTGGTGTAATTTACCGAATGTACCATGGCCATTACCTCAACTGAACCACGTTGATCAGTGCATTCTGCACATAGTAGGGAAATTTTTCAAAGAGAGGTTAACTTTTGTTTGGTCTTTCCTCAAGGTCATTTACGTGTTCTCGCCCTTGCATTGTTTTGATATTTAATCTCATAGATATGTTTGTCTATAAGCTATTCCGAAATCCTCTAGTCTTTTAAGTTTCTTAATACAAGAAATAAAACAAACTCTCTTCCTGCTTTAAGCGAAAAAATGCCTTACACTGCGCAGAAATTTATTTTGGCGATTGATTGTTCATGTCGCTCTTTCCCTGTTATTGATGCAGTAGTCGTACTGTTGTGATGGAAAGTGAAAATATTATCAATTCCTGTGCAAAAACTTTAACGTTAGTTTTCAAATACAAATTACAATACAGAGGATACTTGATCTGTCTAGATCAGTTTTATTCAGTTAAATATTACCGGTTTAAGAATTCGTCCCTAGTCTCGACAGTTTGTATTAAGCTACGCATCATAAAAACTGAGACTTAAAAATTAACTTTGGACGTAAAATCTATTAAAGTTAATCTTTGAAGTTGGCCCCGGTGTCCAATTACAGTAAAAGCCGCCCCTTACAGGAAGTACAATCTTAATGCAGTTTTCAATCTCTTTACCCACTCGACGAATTCACTCTGGCTGGTCTTGCTGCCGTTGCGATGTATGACAAACAATTCTAAATTTAATTAAAAGTCCTCAGTATCTTTTAACGATATGGGTGGTCGGCATTTCAAAAAGTATGAAATTTTATATTTTTGATGCCAAGTCGCGGAAATACTACCTTGTTTGGAACCTGCGTCTCGGCTTTCATGATGTGATATAATCTGTTCGCACAGTTCGCGGCGAGTTCATTCAGTTATCATTGGGTTCCGGTAGGTAATCTTTTAAGGTATTTCATTGACTGTGTGTGTTGCGAGGAGTTGCGGTCGACACGGTTGAAAGGCACTACGTAACTGCTTAGTTGAAAATGCCTAAGGTTTGTGGGTGAAATTCAGTTTATCTTCTTGTTGCTTTTTTTGTATTTTCAACCTTTTTTCACGAATAGCATTAACTATCAGTTTGTCGTTTGCGACAGGCAATTTTAGGACGGAAATTCTGAGCATGTTTTCTCGGATACAAACGTTATTCAATCGTATATTGAACAACATATCGTTATTTATTGTTTTAAACACTCGTTTGTAAAGCGCTGAGTGGGAAATAACAGTTATAACGGTTAAGTTCTTTTAGTTCTTAAAAATGTTTGCCGTATTGGCAGGTAAGTTTATGGCGGCAATATGTCTTATGCAATGTTGTTGTTTCCAGGCCTATTATCGGCAAGGAGTGGCCCTGCAGTGCCTGGGACGACATGCAGATGCCCTCGGAGCTTTCGCTTCTGCGCTTGCGCAGGATGATAAGAGTCCTCAACTGCTGAACTCGTTGACTGAGGCCGCGATGAAGTCTCCCCTTAGAGGTAAATATTTTAGTAACATGCAATTTTCTTTTTATGGTTTTTCTTTTCGTTGGATTAACAATTGAAAAGGATGTCGTTTTATCTAGTGGTTTTGGGAATTTCTTCCTTTCAGATTCGTGTTGTACATCATTTGATAGAAACAAGTTGTGCTATTTTTATTTTATTCTATAACTGTTAACCAAACATGACACAATAATTGGACAATGCCTAGCTGTTCTGACTGTTTAAGATTCCAATTTGTGACCTTTTAACTGAGAACAGTCCTCTAGCAGTGGGGTTTTCTGCATTTTAGTTTGCGGTAAAAATAACGCTATAAAAATGGCCGGATCGTTGTAGCGGAGCTTAGATGGTATTAATAAAATTCTGCGTAGAGCAGGTTTACGGTGGACCAATCCTTACGCCTAAATATCCACTGAATGCTGTCAACAGTTGCGATACGGCTTGCTTTCTAGATCAGTATAACATTTACCCAATTAAAGCACATCTGAAGTTCCACTGGTCCCTTAAAACCGACACTCCCGTCTAAGTTACTTATATAGCGGGACAGCACGCATAAAAAGCTCAAGTGGTTGATATTAGCTAAAGACATTCATTCTTTCACCGCAATTTGAACATTACCAAATATTACGCACTTGAACTATGACACGGGCTGAGCCGCAAAAAAGGTTTAAAGATTCAAGCAGATATAAATAACTTAACCTTGTCTTCTTGAATATCGAGCGCATAGGGTAAGTGCGTTTGATTTTGCCGCCAAGTCAAGAGTCCTCTAACATCTGCTTTTACGATAAAACATTTCAATGCGAGTTACCTTTCATGGATGCTTCTCTTTTCATCGATTCAAGTTTCAAATTTTGTGAGAGTCTGTTCAGAACTCTAGTAGGCTGTCACTCTCTGAACTTCGACGTTCGCATGCCCACTCGAATGACTAGAAAGGGACTGCTAGTACAGTGCTTCTTTGGTCTTGTGTCTACTAAATGTTGAGTGTGTGCATAGAAAAAGGAAACCGACAAACTGGTCTTTGATCAGTTTATTATGATTAAAGCAAAGAAGTCAGAAAAAAGATGTGATCCAGTTCTTGGGGGGTGTTAAGAGCCTGTGACTTGATGGTGGAGTGGTAACGTCAAGTTCAGATTACGTTGTTATCAGTTGATTTACTCGAATAAAACCTCATTACAGCATTTTGCTGTAAACAGTTTATTCTGATTTAATTATTAAAAACACGGATTTGGGACTTTTTGTGGTTTTTGTGGGCAGAGAGGTTATCACAAATTTCTGTTCGAGTAGCCACGGTACAAGCCTATTGGTTCTTATAACTGTTTCTGTGGCGTTTTCATTGTGATAAGAAATTATAAGCTAATCACTGTTATTTTTACTGATTTTTTTTTCAGCCACTTTAGAGCCAATCTACAACCAGCTAAACAAAATGAAACTTGACAAGAGCCCATTTGTGATGATCTCAGTTATAGGACAGGAGCTGTTATCAGTGGGTCACTTAACAGCGGCAGTAGATTGCCTTGAAGCGGCTTTGAAAGTCGGCACATGCGGACTACGTCTCCGGGGTTCTGTTATATCAGCTTTGAGTACAGCTTACTGGAAAATTGGAAATGTAAAGAAGGCCATGGAGTACATGAAGCAAGATCTAGAAACTGCGCAGTCACTGAACGATAAAGCAGGCGAGTGTCGCGCGCTCGGCAACCTGGGAGGCGCGTATTATTCTCAGCGCATGTACAAGGAGGCACTTGAACATCAGAAAAGTCAACTGGCGATTGCTATGAAAACGAAAGACCGAAAGACGTCGGCCACGGCACTGAGCTCTTTAGGTCATACTTATGTGTCAATAACTGATTATTCCAATGCCCTTGCGAGCCATAAACAGTCATGTCACATTTATAAGGAGTTGAAAGACAAGCAAACGGAAGCTAGAGAACTCGGAAACATCGGCGCTGTCCATGTACTGCTTTCGGATTATGACAACGCCATCAAATGCCATGAAGAACATTTGAAAATTGCTGTTGAGTTAGGTGACAAGACCGAGGAAGGCCGGGCGTATAGTAACTTAGGAAGTGCGTTCCATTACAAAAGAGACTTCGATAGAGCGATCCAGTTCCATCGGCAAGTACTGGATGTTGCGAAGAAGACCAAAGATTCTTTTATGGAGGCGCGTGCATACGCAGGTCTTGGGCATGCGCTGAGATGTAAGGGTGACATAGAGCAGGCAAAGACCTTTCATGAGTATCAACTGGCTTTGTCAATCAAACTTGGGGATCGCGCCACCGAGGGGCGAGCATTATCGAATCTAGGAATTATTTTTCAGCAGAAGGGGCTTTATGGGCAAGCCTTGAAACTGCATAAAAGACACCTGGCCATTTGTAAAGAGTTACAAGATCGAGCGGGCCAAGGCCGAGCTTATGGCAATATGGGCTGTGCGTACAGCGCCTGCGCGCGGTATGATCAAGCGATTAAATTTCACAAACAAGAACTAGTGATTTCCAAAGAGGTAAATGATCGACCTTCGGAGGCGTGCACACAAGGGAATCTTGCAGTTGCTTATCAGGCCATTGGAAGCCTTGATAAATCACTAAAACATTACCAGCAGCATCTAGTTATCTCACAAGAACTGGGTGATCAATCCACCGAGGCCATCGCGCTGAGTAATCTTGGAAACTTTTACAGTTCTTGCGGGAATTTCTCCAAGGCTATTTCTTATTACGAGAACTATTTATCTGTATGCCGACATTTGCGGGATCAAGCGGGAGAATGCAAAGCCTGCCACAATCTTGGGTTCGCTCATTACTCGCTCGGGAATCATCTGGACGCTGTTCCGTATTACGAGCGGAATGTTGCCATTGCAAAAGATCTGGAGGATAAACCGAGTTTAGGTCGGGCTTATTGTAATCTCGGACTTGTTTACAGCGCTCTTGGCAAACAGGATAAAGCGTTAGAATGCCAGAAAGAGTTCTTAACTGTCTCCCAAGAAGCGATGAACGTTCAAGGGGAGTTTAAAGCTTGCGGCAACATCGGGGATATCTATGTTACGTTAGGAAACACCAATCAAGGAATCCGATTTTTCCAGGAACAACTGCAAGTCGCGAAAAAGGCGCAAGACACTTCGCTTGAGAGTGACGCTTATGGCGCGTTAGGTAGCGCGTACAAGACTGCGGGCGAGTTTGAAAAGGCGTTGTCGTGTTTCAAGACGGAATTGGATCTGAGAAGGAGTGAAAAAGACACTCTAGGCGTTTGCAAGGCGTTGAGTAATCTTGGAGGTGTTTACACGAGCATGCAGAAGTACAGCGATGCGTACAATTGTTACTCGGAACAACTCGGCCTCGCTATTGAACTAGACGATTGCGTTTTGCAAGCGCAGGCTTACGGCAATCTAGGTATCACTAAAATAAACTGTGAGGACTATCAGGATGCATTGGGCTTTTTCGAACAGCAGATCGCAACGTTAGAACAAGTGGCTAGTGCAGTGCTGGAAAGGGGTCAAGCATACGGGAACTTAGGCGAATGTTATCACGTGTTGGGTGATTACGAAGAGGCCGTTAAATGCTATGAGAAATACTTAGCCGCTGGACAGCAGCTTGATAGTGTGATTGACCAGGACAAAGCGTATCGCGGGCTTGGAAACGCACACAGAACCATGGGAAATCTCCAACAAGCTCTAGTGTGTTTTGAGAAGAGGCTGGTCGTAGCGCACGAGCTTACTGATTTCCGCTCGAAGGGAACTGCGTATTGCGAGCTCGGAAATATGCACAAGGTATTGGGTAACTACGAACAAGCCCTTGCTTGCTTTGAGCAGCAGCTTTCTTTAGCAAGGGATTGTAATGATCCAGTTAATGAAGGTGATGCTTTGTGTGGCCTGGGACTGGTAAATCAGAAGATGGGCGAGTACGAGAAAGCGCTCAAGCTCCACGAAGAAGAAATGGCAATCGCTGATAAACTGAAAAATGCGGGCCGGCGTGGCCGAGCTTCGTTTCATCTCGGAGTGACGCATGAGATTCTCGGAAATTATGAACGGGCAGTAGTCTTTCAAGAACAACATCTCAATATCGCCTCACAAATGAACGATGAGGCTGCCAAAGCGCAGGCGTACAGTTCACTGGGAAGAACGCACCACGAGCTTGGCAACTATTCCCAAGCCATCGCTTACCTCAAGCAGGGCCTCGTTATCGTGCAGACTCTTGGGAGGACTGAGGATGAGGCGCGAATACGTCATCGGTTGGGTTTGTCCCACCTGGCTGATAATCAGTTGGAGGCATCGCAGGCTCATCTCTTCTATGCTGCGGAATTATTGGAAAAGCTTCGTGAGGAAGGTATTCATAGTGGCGAATATAAGCTTTCCTTGTACGAACTACAGGCAGCGACCTATCAGGTTTTACAGCGTGTTCTAGTGACAATGGGCAACCACGAAGACGCTTTAGCAGTCGCTGAGCGCAGTCGGACACGAGACTTTATCGATTTGCTCCAGGAGCGACAAGGAAGTAATCGATCAACGAACGGCATATCAAAGTTTTTGGAAAATCCTTTGACCACACCAGAACAGATTGCGGATTTCGTGAGAAGCCAAAGAGCGACTGTATTGTACTATTCCATTGCCGCTGGACACTTGTACAGTTGGCTTATCACCCCAAGAAAAGGCATTGTCAAGTTCCATGATTCGCTTCTGTCGGATGGAGACCATGATAATGAAATCACTGTGGATTTGGATCAGAGTAGCAGTGCTGCGTACTCACACACCTCCACTCTATTGGACTCTTACATAACCCAAGTCAGAGAGGCCCTGGGGGTTGAACCTCATTTGAATTTGACCCGCGCAACCAGCATATCTGAGAGTGAAGCGGAAGACGCCTGGGAACGTGAGAGTCTACTCAGCGCTGGAACAAGCCCACTGTCCTACATGTCAGCGGATGACGACACTATCAGCGTGTCGTCACTCTCGCTTGGGCAGTCAAGTTTTCGCTCGACTCCGAGAAGCAACGGTTTATCAAAAAAGAATGTGCGAAAGTTAAACGGTGTACGAACGAGTAGCAAGAAACTTGGTTGGACTGGTAAGCCTCCCCTTCGAGCTTTGTACGAGCTGTTAATTGCGCCCATGGAAGACGCATTGCCGGCCTCATCATACTTCGATGGTGACGATTCCGAGCTTGCTTTGGTTCTTCAGGGGGACCTATACCTTGTTCCATTCCCTGTATTAAAGGGAAGCCTTTCCAAGGAGTATCTGTTCCGACGATTTCGTCTAATCGTTGTTCCTTCACTACAGTCTCTCGCCATTAACAGCAAAGCTCTGATGTCAAGGAAGACGGGTCTGGATACAACTTCAGTTATGGTGATCGGAAACCCGAAGGTCCCGGCAACTTTCGGTCAGTGGGAGTCGAACCCTAGCGCCGAGCACGAAGCTAAGATCGTGGCCGAACTTTTCAACACTAAACCTTTGATTGGCAATATCGCAACGAAGAGTGAAGTTGTCCGGAAATTACCTAAGGCGGAGTGCGTGCATTTTGCCACCCATGTCTCATGGAAGCTATCTTCCCTTATTCTAGCTCCTCAGAATTCCGATGATAAATTCGCATCCCCGGCAGGATCACCCGAGAGGGCAAGTCTGGATTTTCTCGGTGACATGAGCCCTGATGAAGCACCTGCTCTATCCGAGTTTCTTCTCACAGCATCCGACATCTTGGACCAAAAATTATCTGCTAAGCTCGTAGTTATTGGCGCCGCTCATAACCATTCATCGCGTAATCGTATAACTTCGGATGGAGTGATCGGTCTAACGAGGTCGTTTTTGTCGGCGGGTGCTCAGTGTGTTTTGGTTTCCCTGTGGCCTGTACCTGATCTGGCGTGCAAATTGTTACTCAAGGCGTTTTACGGAGGGCTTCTGCAGGGAATGCTAGCTAGTCAAGCCCTCTGCCAAGCCATGCAAGTTGTCCAGGGAACCAAACAGTTTTCCCACCCATCCAACTGGGCAGGGTTTATTCTGGTTGGTGGTGACAGCGCACTTACAAACAAAGAAGCTTTGATGAGTAGCGCCATCTCTCAACTGTTGAACAACCCTGGCAATTGCAGAGACGCTCTCAAGGTCCTTGTGCATCTGGTAAGATATAGTATGCCGTCTAGTGATTTTTCGTAAATTGCTCAACTCTCAACCTGTATAGCGGGCAGTGGGAAAGAGGTGATAAAAGGAAAGAATGTTCACCCGTCCACCAACGTGCAGGGAGAAACCTTGACACGCAAAACGCGAGAAAATTGCTTTTTTTCTCCTTTTCGTTTTTGGTGGCTTCAACGGAGCAATTTCTCATACTCTAAAGGCGAATAGGTGCGCCTACTTTGTCTATGTTTTTGTTCCTATTTTTTTGTTGATAAAGCCTTAGCTCAATTTTTATCTGTCATCTTTATTGCATTTGTGTCGTTAGAGTTCAAACGTATACTTGGTGCAAATTCATGTTTTTAGGTCGACAAAGCTCAACAACGCATACGTCAAGGACAGCGGTCTTCCATGTACACAGCAGACGCTAGTATCAACGCTAAAGTCAAAGGAGCCAGTGGATGGCGTGAGCTGCTTAAACTCCTTGGTTTCCGGTTTCAGAAGGCATCCAATGGAATTCCAGACTCAGTTTTCTTTCCGTCCGTCGCCAGTGGAGTAGGGGATAAGCTGGCTGATGCTAGTAATCATCTGCATGCCTTATTGGGTAAGGTTGCTGTTTGTGTAGGAAGATTGACTTAAACAATACCGTAAACTGCCGCTTATAAGCCCTGGGTTATACATCTTCGTAAGGGGTTTTAGGAGGGCTTATTAACGGAGGGGCTTATTTATATCCGAGGGGGCTAATAACAACCGGAATAGAAAAAGCACTTCGAAACAAGCTACAGTCTAATCTCTCCTTACGGACACCTCTCTTTTACGGACAGTTTGTTTGGTCGCGGAAATGCCAAAAATCATACATTCCTTACCTCTATAATACGGACACCGCTGTAAAGCAGACACTTGGTTCTGTCACTTTGGTCTCCGTATTGAAGAGGTCATTGACTGTATAGCAGTGCTGATCAAAATACGATTTGCATTTTGCACTAACCCTAACCCTAAGCTTCAAAACGTCAACACAACGGCCACCTTAGGGACAGAAGAAGGTGGCCATTGTAGAGAGGTTTCAAACGAGGATCAATGTATGGACTGTCCACCCAAAAAAGTGGTCGTTGTAGAGAGGTGGACACTGTAAATCAAATTCATTGCAAGGGTGGCTTATATCCGGGGGGGGGGGACTTATAATCAGATGTATTTTTTTATTTACTGTTAGATGGGCCTACAACTGGGGGGAGGGGGAGGGGCTTAAAGGCGGCAGTTTACCGTCTAAGAATTTGTTAGAGTGAGTGTTAGATTCTGATCACTCGATCCTCGGGGTATCTTAATAAGCTATCGACGTTTCTTGTCATCTGACAGCTGTTCACTAACGGGAGGTGAGTGGTGGCGGATGTTACGTTTACCATTGGTACTATTCATGTTACAATCCCCCAAAGAGCTTTTTTAATAAATTAAAAAGCTAGGTAAAAGAACTGAAAGCGATATCCGAGTCCTGTCACGAGACTGTTTTAGTGATGTTCCTATAACGTGTATAGAGAGTCGAGATTTCGTAAGAATAGCAAAGAAGGTATTGTCGTAAGAGTGATTATTGAAAATTCTGTTTGTAATTTTCGGATTATCTTAGCGATCCTGAACACCTGCATTCAAACAGAAATTCGTGTTTTCCTGAATGTGCATCGAGGCTTCCGAAATTGTTTTGGACTTTGTTTTGAAGCTTTCTACAAGATTTGTCGTCAGCTACAGGGTCCTTGTAGTTAAAGCCATAAAAATGATGAACATAGATGTGCGTGCACTCAACAAGTAAATCAAGCACTAAATTTTACCACTTGTTCGGGGCTCGTCGCTTTGTCTCGCCATTGGGTACCTTGTTAGTTATTTTGTTTATTTATTTATTTATTTTGTAATCGTTTGTTATCCGTTAATCAGTTTAATTTTATTGGTTTTATCCAAAACAAATAAAGTGGAAAGCTGTTTATCTCATCAGATTTATTATCAAAGTACTTTTTCCGACGTTTTGGTCATTGCAATGGTCTGTTTTTTTTTTTCTTGGATGGGTGAGCACAAACTTTGGTCAGTCTGAAAGATTAAGAAGTTTGAATTAATTTGTTGTAAAATTGCTGCACTGGAGTAAAACAAACACAACGGGAACGTCGTCTTGATTGCGGCACTTGAAAGGTGGAGTTGATAAGATTAAGATTCCCAAATGACGGTTATTATCCACTTTTTTGAGTCGGATCTTTTTCTTAGTGAGTAGTCTAGACTGAAGAAGGAAAAACAGCGGTCTAATCTGATAGAAATCTGATAAACATCAGTGAGAAGATGCCGTACTAATTATAGCCTCGACTATAACAGTTAAAAGTACTTACTTTTACCGGTTTATGAGTTATGGAAGTTAGCTTTAACAAGTTGTTTTAAGATGTTTAAGACTTCAGCTTGTTTCCTTGGAAATGAAACCCTCATATTTCGGTAAAATCGTAGTGAATCCGGTCCGTGATTGTAACAGTTTGGTTGATTCCTATGTCAAGCAGTTGGTTATTATCAAGCTATCAGGATTTGTAGTCACCGAAGGGGGCGTTGAATACCGAGAGGGGAGGGAGGAACCGGGAGACTGGAAAGAGACAGAAAAAGGGAGCTCCATCTCTCGTTTCAGTGATTTTGTTACAAGTAGTTATGGTGAGTCCTGGGACTCATCTTGTAAAAAATAATGAGTCCCAGTCCAGAACCATTGAGTTTAAAAACACGAGCACCCGGGATCTTTAGGTAACCACACAGTTAATTCAAAGACAGACTCCAAAACTCTGTATTACAGTTAACTGAAATACAAATGTACTCCTTCTAATAACAAGGACAACAAAGACTAAAAGAAGTATGCGTCGTTAAACAACAGCCACAAGAACAGCCAGGATATTCTTCAAAAACATCTTCAGATCGATCAATCGATCTTTGCGCCACAGATTATTTTGCGTCTTTGGGGATTTTTCTGCGTCGGGGTTGCAGGGCGCAGAGGTAACAAAATCACTGTCTTTTCCCTTTCGCGTTTTTCTGCCCCCCTTTTGCGCTTACCAAGACCTTTTTGCCTCCCCATTGCTTTAATATGATTAAAGCGGCATCCGGTGGGGAAGGGACCTATTGCTTCTTAACTAAAGGTTGGTTGTATTTGTTGGTTGCAGTGATTTACTGACGTTTTTGCTTGGCCTGACTCCAAAATATAGAGGGTCGCCGCTTAATAGAGGCTCGACTATATAAGCTAAGGCAAGAGCGGAAAACGTGTGTGCGCTGGTTTAGATTTGTTTTACCTTTCCTCTGATTGGTTCACAAAGTGGTCGAGGCATCTGCCAAATTGATTGCGCCACTCAGTTGAAATTAATGAGTCTTTTTTATCGGCACAACCAAGTGAAACACTTGTAAATTGTAGAGTTGGTCTGTCTTTGTCAGCTAGTTGTCTGTTACCATTCTTTAAGATAGTCAACTGGTGGTAAAGATGTTCATTCTTTTTTTTACTTCAGGTCTCAGTCCTACAACTCTTCAAGCTCTGGCCAAACTTGTCAACGCGCGCACCGTTAATACTGCACTTCTATCACTGGTAAGCCTGTGCAATATTTACGTCACAAGTTCACTCAGTAATCCTTACTCAGTTAACTAAACCAGTCGAAATACCCCTTTGTATGAAAGAATTAACAAAATACGGTCTTGTATTATGGGGTTAATAACGTGTTTCTTCTTCTTCTTTTTTCCTTACAGTTCAGTCAGGTTCTGTCCTGTTTCACTCAAGGAATGAACAACGTACAGGTTCCTTTGAATCTCAAGTTATGGCGCACAGTGGGCTGTCACGAGCTACTTGCATCTCTTGGCTTTGATCTGATCGGTGTTGGAAAAGAAGAGGTCATGTTAAGATCAGGCAAAGCCAACAGCAGGCGTGCTATACAGTGCACAGTACAGGCCCTCTGTGCTCTCACGGGTGAGTATGTTACAGCTCATATTTGACCTCAGATTAATTTTGTCTCCTAGCCCTATGAGACAAAGGAAATTGTGAATCAATTTTAACCTGAAATCAAATTTGACTTGAAACAAGTATACTTGTACAGGGAAGATATGTACCTCAGGAAGTCTATCACGAAACTATCGACTTAATTGGGAAGAGTTGACTTCAATTGGGTGACTTTTCGTACGATATAATAAGTCGGGTAGACCTGAGGATTGAAATGCAGCTTTTCGTTTGATCTTCTTGTCTTTTCAGACGGGAATGTTTGAGACGGGAAACTTGCCTTTAATCAGATTCATATTACCCGAGCTTTTAGTCATGAATTTCCGTTAGATGACGGTTTCCCGTCCGTCTAAATACAAAATGCTAAATGAACATCCCCCTCCGCAGAAAAGTCCTACTGTTAGCTTTACTAATACGCAACTGATTGAACTGCGTCAGTGGTCAAAAGTTCGATTCATCTTGACTTACAGGGCAAGCATTCACTTACACAAATGTTGAAGAACCTACAATGTAGCACATAGTACCACACCTCATCTACTATAGTTGTCACTTGAATGATGTTACTGAAGAATTTTATCCACTGGGTCAAAAGTAGAACTACTTTGCCTCTCATGAGAAATAGAATCACTTCAAATGTCGCATGGAGCTTTATACTAGCTTTCACTTGAATGGTCTTATTTCTAGGATGTTATCCAGTCTCTAGAAGTTCCTTAGTAGAGTACGCTTGTAGTTAACATCTGTACGAATTGGCATTTTAAATTTTTTCAACAAGTTAAGAGAAGAATGGGTTTTGTGTTTGACGTGAACTCATCGACTTCCTTTTTTGTCGCAGATTCAGAGAATCCAGCCGAAAAGGAGGACCCGACATTTAAACTTGCCAAAGTTCATTCCGCTTCCACTGTAATCTCCAACTTGTCCCTTATCTCAGCCTCAATCGAATCCGATCTTGATTCTAAAGTTGGCGGTTCAAATCCTGACGTCTCCAGTATAGGGGGCTCAAGCATGAGGGCTAAAAACAGCATCATCGCAAGGCCCGTTAAATCTGAGGCCCAACCGTCATACGACTCCAGCCGCCCAGTGGTAACTGCCGAACCCGAGCGAAGAAACATGCGAGCCATATCTAAGTCACAAGTACTGCCTGTAAATTCAAAGAAACGCTCGGAATCTGTACATAAGTATGCCAGCTTCAACGGCCATATTCCTAGTAATAAGAGACAGTCTTCGACGTCTTCGGTTACCGATCATTCTCGGACCTCTTCGATCCCCGATCCGTCGGACTCTGATATTGATAGTTACTCGGATATTGTCGGTCAACAGTCGTGGAAGGACACTGTAATTAGTAATAAAGGTGTTGATCTTTCCGTGGAGAGTTCTCGGCGCAACACTAAACAGAGAGTTGCAAATGTTGTACCTACCACGTGGGCATCAAGTGCAGCCAATCCTGCGGGCAGCGTGATTTCTTTCGGTGGACAGCAGCGTAGAGTCATTGAAGATCAGGCAAGAACTACAAAACAGAACTCGAAAAGTTACGATTCTCTGACTAACGGAACTAGACAGTCTGCACCCAATGTTTATGCTGTCAATGGGAAGGAATCACCACGCGAGAATGGCACGTTTCGTGGGCGGGCCCAAAGGAGAACCAGAAGTGAGAGCCAAGACCTTGTCCTCCAAAATGGTCCTCGGGCAACTGCGTATGGTCGATCTAAGTCCATACCGAGACAAAGGGGGAATGGGTCGAGCGACGAGGAGGAATCAGAGCAACCAAGAAATACAAGATGGAAAGGCAGTGCTACTGACTTGAGAGTGAATCGTGTTATAATTGGAGCTTATAGAACTAATCAACCAGAACTCTTAAGAGTCTCGAGTGTGGATTCGCCCACTGAGGCCCAGAGGGCTTCAAGTAATAGAATTACACCTACACGAAACGGTGAATTTAGGTCAAATCACGCTGATCAACTTGCAGCAGAAATGCAACAAGGGAGGAAAAATTCTCTCAGTGGGAGAAAGCAGTCGTTTCCGAATTTTCGCGACGATTCCCAGTCGTCTCAAGATAGCACCGACTACGAGTCACGACAAACTGCCGCGGAGCAAGCAGCGGTTGCCCTAATGACCAATCGGGCGACTCGTGTGCCGACGCAGTCACTGAATGACGTACGTCATTCCCAGCGGCCGGTTGAGATGGTATCCATGGGAACAGAGAATAGAAAACTCAGGAGGGAGCATCTTGCTAATCTAGCTCATCTCCAGTCCTCGTCCTGTTAGCACGGCCTGGTGAGTGTAATTTTTTTTCTCAGTTCCTTTCATTTCTAAATACCTCAATGTAAGACCAAGGATCGGGTTGTGGAAGCGTCCTTGAGAAGGTAAATACAGTCAACTCTCTCTTAACGAACACCTCTCTAAGACGGACATCCGGTGTTGGTCCCTGCCGATTTTCAGTCATTTTACCGTAACTATTCTCTCTATTAGACGGACACCTCTCTAAGACGGACACCTGGTGTTGGTGCCTGCCGTTTTTCAGTCATTTTACTGTAACTATTCTCACTATAAGAAGGACACCTCTCTAAGACGGACACCTGGTGTTGGTCCCTGCCGTTTTTCGGTCATTTTACTGCAACTATTCTCACTATAAGAAGGACACCTCTCTAAGACGGACAACGGACACTTTTGAAACCGTCAACCGACACTTGAGAAGTGCTTTATGCAGTGAAAAATACCTCAAAAAGGAAATGTGTGGGTGCTCTACATGACAGAAAATTGCAAAAGTTTGATTATTTTGTATTCCTGCTCCATTTCGCAGAGTATACACTGTTACGCTTTTAGACCACGAAGCGGTGAACAGTTGCTTTATGAATGAACGTTTGATTTCACGATGAGAAAATGATTCCACTTTGCTGCTAGAATGTTCAAGTTTTTAGCTGTTTTGTACAAGTTAAACAGACGTCTTTCCATTACGAATGGGTTCGGTGTTGTTTCTTAAAATTACTGGCGTCATGTTACCTTGATTCTCTATATGCCGGAAACCTTTCTAAGACGGACAGTCAGGGCCGGTCCGTAAGGTGTCTTAGTCTTAGAGAGACTTGACTGTATTTATCATTGTAGTGACTTGAAGAGTTTGTCTCACGTTTATTATGAATTTGGCAAAGGTTCAGATCGAAACCTCCACTCGGACAAGGCCTTTATAACAGATTTCTTTAGTAGCTTCTGTGGGCATGTGTCTAGAATGTTAAGATGCACATTCTGAGAAAGTGATGGAAAGAACTACAGCGCCCCCTTTAATAGCAAAAAGGTTGCTTCATTATTAAACGAACGGCGGCAATTTAACAATTTCAAAGGGGTCACTAAACTGGTTTCTAAGTTATAAGCACATAAAACTGAAAGCAAGCGTAACATCTTCTGTATATTTATTTTGCAGATGTTTTGAACCCACTTGGCTGGCGTATTTTGATTCGGCAGAGAGTGAATTTTAAGCCTTGCGTGTTTTTAGAATGAATACAAAATATTTTTGTACCTATGGACCACATTGGTTCCTTGGCAGAAGTACTTTAGGAAAAATAATAATTATCTTGAAAGAATGCGTTCAATATTTTTCTTAAAAAAGGACTCGCTAGTACGTTGAGTCTACTTTTTTATCAGCCTTGGCCGATAGATGTTGAATTACCAAGCTCTACCCGGAGTAGTCTCTCATTTTCCCCATGGTACGAAGCGAAAAACGCGAGTACGCGTGAGGAAGACGACACGCGATGTTCGCGCGTTCTCGCGTATTTCGCTAGCTATAATCTCCCTGAGGAAAATGGAGAACTACTCTTAGTCTAAGAAATTCTCAGCGTTTATGTTTAACCCTTTCACTGCTTGGACAGACCACAATCTAAATATTATAGCTGAGGGGCTTCTGTTGGCTTTAAAGTGTTAGAAGAAGCTTCAAGGCCCAATAAGTGGATCCTTAGGAAAGTGCTACGTACAGCTTTTATTGGAAATCAGTCAAGGGCATAGGTCGGCTACTGGTCATAGGGCAGCATTATTCACAGACTTACAAGTTAGAAATCACATTATTCAACATACAAACCAGCAACACAAATACTAAACTTACTCTTATAGCAAATGTCACTTTTAAGAACTTTGTCCAGGCTTGAAAGAATGGTGTAATTAAGATCACATTTTATTACTTGGCGGACTATGATTTTTTAACTACGGTACTTAAAATATGAACCACACCATACAACGACGTCAACATGGCCATGTAAGAAGTACCATTCATTGACTTTAATATGATGAGTCTGTGACCACGTTAAGACAATCGGTTTCCTAAACGACGCAACGTGTATTGCAGTGAAAGGGTTAATTTCTGGGAGATTTTTCAGTTGTAATATCTTTCATTGTGTCTGGCTTCTTCTTGATAAACCTGGGTATCTTTTTCAGTCGTTCGTGTTAGGCATGTGTACTACAAAAGAGTTTAACATCGTTCCATTCTGACAATATATTACAATTTCCTAGTGAAATACGTTCTTTGCGGAATTATGCTTGTTTGCAGCCATCTGGGTTTGCAGCGAGGTTCATTCGTGAATATTCGAGTTACAAGTTAAAAGACAGTAAACTTCCATTTGCTATCCTATGTCTATGTTCTGTTGCAACTTAGGATGCTTACTATCCTGCGAGTAAGCTGTCCATTTTGGGGGAGTCACGCGAGAGCAGTGAGTGCGAGGGGCGCGCGTCTCGCTTCACTCCCCCCAAATAAAAGAGCTTGCTAGCAGGCTAGGTGCTTCCCTAAAGCCAGAACTGGCTGGTCATGCTGGTCATTTTGAAAATGGAATAGGCCTGTAGCACTCTCGACAGTTTTCGCTGAAAACTTATCTCTGTCGTGAATAATGTTTAGAAAGACTGTCGTGATTAATACTGAAATTCTTTTTACGACTAAACAAGCCTGGCCGGCCAGCAAGCGCTCCAAGTTCCCAGGGTTCGCGTGCAGGACATAGAAAGGAGTCCAGCTCGAGAATTGAAGGAAAGTTGGATAAAATTCGGGTTGGTTTGAGCAGGAAACGAAAATACATACCACAAGAAAAATATCGCGGGGTATAATGAATTGCATTTCTTTCCATAACACGGGCTACTGTCTTTTATCTTCTGTTTAAGAATCCTGACTGACCTCTGATAAATAGTATCATATGGTGTCGCATAGATTCTTTATAGTAAACGTAATTAAATCCATCATTACATTTATTGACAAATTAAAGTTTACAAAGGTATCGTTCAACAGTAAACTATTGTCATTGTTTTTCATAGAACTTTGAAAGTATTAAGCCTGAGAAAACAGCAGACATATCGCGACGCCACCACTGGTTTCCCCGCGAAATGACGTCTGAGAAACGAACGCAGAACTTCCATACTGATGACGCCTCACTACCCAGATCTGGGTCGTCCTTTTGATTGGTCGTGCCACCTAAGAAATTTCCTTCAACCAATCAGAAGCACTACCCAGATCTGGGTAGTGACGCTTCATCAGTTTGGAATTTCTGGGCTCGTTTCTCAGACGTCATTTTCGCGGTGAAACCAGTGGTGGCGTCGCTAAATGTTGGCTGTTTTCTCAGGCTATCAAAGTATTGTGCCACAAGGAAAATTCATTTTCACCGCCAGCGTTGTTCGTTGTTGATTAGTACATTTAATGAAATCAGTGCACTTGAATGAATTCCGCTTTAGTGTGTATGGGGTATTTTTAAGTGCTATTTATTAAGTTTTATAGTTCAAATTATGTACATAGAACTTTGTAATTTTAAATTTCATAAAATAGGAGGCTTATGATGTATCTATTTAACGGCCAGACACGAGAAAACGTTGTACATATTTCACCTCCTGGAAAGTATTTTTATTCTAATCAATTAAAGCTCAAGTTTTCTTAAATGATTGCGTCCTTGATTTGTCACTGCTAAACAGAATCATTCCATGAAGTGATCGGCGTTTGGTGTCTTATTAAGGTTGTACAGTACTCGAACAAAGTACTCCTTTCGACGCCTGCTACATAGGCTACGGATCTCCGTATATCCGGGACTTTTAACTTTACACCGCCTTGTATTTTTTTCGCCATCCTGTGTTGTCTGAGGAGGGTAAGGTCCCTGTTCAGAATCTCATCTCAACTTGAATCGTTCACTGAGCAGCACTGCCATCTTGTCCCCATGGCCATCTTAAATAAGACGAGGATTGAAGCACGCCAATTAGGGATTTTCTCGTCTCCCAATATTGTTTTAATCATGAATGGCCCCACAAGGGCTAAATTGCAGAGCTTAGGCACAAACTTGTCAATGTAATATTAGGGCCATTTATACGAGGGAAAATAAGACACGTCTTTCATTAGACGCGTCCTAAATAAGACGAAAACTATCCCTTTCTTAGCAAAGACGCGTCTTATCGAAGAACAGGTGTTGGGGGAAGTTCTTCGATAAGTTGCGTCTTAGCTAAATTTCAAACGAAATGTGTCGTTTATACGGGATAGTTTGAGTCTTGCTTAGGAACCCCAGTTGCATAGGAGCTGCTCGTAAAGTCTCTCCTGATTTATCACAGAAAACAATGACAAGTCATTCTTTCCATTGTTCCGGTATTGTTTGGGGCCTGTCAGGGTTCTCTTCCGAGCAGCTGCTACAAGACGCTTCCTAAGTAAGACGCGTCTTATTTTTCCTCGGTTAAACGGCCTTATTGTGTCGCTGTACCCATACGTTTGAAGCTAACCTAATAAAAGGATGGTTTTAAGGCCCTCTCTCATCCTCATTTAGGGACCAGTGATAAACAAAGGACGATCGACGCCTTCCTCAAGTGTATTTCTAAGGAAGGTGAGATGACAAAGGTTTTTTTTTCAGGCGACTTGTCACTGGTTCTTCCTATTCGAAGTTAATTCATTACTATTTTTAAAATGTCCAATCACTTTGACCTGGGTAATATGCCCTCAAGCATGGCTTTCGCGGGAATACGAAGAGTCAACCCTTCCCTCTTTGAGAAAGGAAGAGAGAGAGGATCCTGGGAACGAGGTTGTACGCATGGTGCTTGGGTGTGTTGAGAGAAGGGAGGGGTGAGTGAGGAGAAAATTGGACACACCGGGATCTTCGTATTTCAGCAACTAACACTAATTGACCACTCCAGAAATACCATAACATACCATAATGTTCTTTGTTTGTCACCCCAAAATTTTGCATAAGCATTGTTTTCAGTTTCTCCTGGGGCCATTTTAACTCCCAAGAGAAACTGAAGACAATGCTTATGCAAAACTTTGAGGCGACAATCAAAAAGCATTATGGTATGTTATGGTATTTTCTGGAGTGGCCAATTCTACTTTCAGGTAATCTGACTTTGCAAGTGAGTGTTAAATTCTTATTTAAAAAACTAAATATAGTCAAATCATCGTCATTATCGTCACCGTGTTTGTTGTTAATGCTGTTGTTGTTGTTGTTGTTTTTCGTGACTTTTTCAGGCTTCAACCCATGCAAGAAGAATTAATTAAATTGATGTTACTTTAGAAAGAGAAAATAAGTAAGGAAAGGCAAATACTCAAAAATTTAGCTCTTTAGCCAGTCTAAACATTAATTGTTCTCATCAAGAAGCTTGAAAGAAGCAGCTAATTACCTTTCGAACATTTTGAATAGAAAACATTAATTTGAATTCGCGGTGCGTGCGCACGAGGGCATGAAATTCCGATCATCTCCGTGCAGTTCATTAACTAAAATTGCTTATTCAATTCATCATTAATATTCATTAAACCACCTTCATTTTTTTCTCGTTTGCCTCGAGGAAAGAGCCGGAACACCGAATGACGAAATAAGTCAAATTTGAGCGCCATTTTTGAATTTTGTTGAAGCAAAGGGATCCTCATAAAACATGGCTTGAATTGATGTGAGGCCTCGCCTATCTTCCTTGTGCCGATATATGGATATGAGCAAGATTTTCCTTTGAAACGATCCAGGTATTTGAACACAAGGACGGCGGTTTACGTTGAAGCAGTCACAACTCGCTGAAAGCAACTCATTTTATTTGAGGTAAGGAAAGAACGATTTATCTCAGTCATGTAATATAATGGTTTAAAATAAAGGAACGTAGCTTTCGAACGTATCTCACAGTATTCTTTAGCAACGTGAGGTAGGTTTGAAACCTTAGTTGCTTTTAAACGTTTTAACTTCCCGAGGCCTGGGTTTAAATAAAAAATAATGGACTTTGTGAATAGCATTGTTGTATAAGTAATACATGTCTAAAGTCAGGATTAGACATTTGTAGTACAGTATTACATATGTAAGCTTGGCATAGCCAAAGGACGTAGCATTGCAATCAAAACTGTAATGTGAAGTTTCGTGAAAGGGAGCGACACACTGGTCCCGGAGTATGGCGTACATTTGCGGACAAAAATAATTGAAAATAAAATACAATTTGAAGTTCAAAAATTAGACTATCCATGTCGAAATCTCGTCATATAAATTTGAAATCGCAACGAACGCAGTCGAAATAGCATCATTCGAACTTGAAGTTACTACTTTGAACAAGTTGAAACTATAAAGGGAAAACTCGACATCGCGGATGTTGAAGTTCAAATCACCATTTCAACTAAAATGTAAATTACATGATTTGAACTTCAATTCACCTTCTCCACTCTAATAAGCTACTTAATCGTCAACAATGCAACCATAATCTCCCACAAAATTCCAAATGAAACCTTTAATTTGAACTTAAAGTCACGTCACATATTCGAATTCGAAAAACCAAAATTTCAATTCGAAAGGAAGCGGAAGTAAAAATATACAGGAACCGGAAATGATAAGAGTTTCGCTACACTTTACATACGGGATGTTTGTATAACTGCATTTTGGCGTGAAAAGATTTTCCCTTCACTCGAATAAGGGTGACTCAAGGACAATCCAAGAGATTGTGAGGGGCTGTCGTGGCAAACTTAAGAGTGGTTTTCTGTAAAATTTGAACTTCGGCCTGACACGGTACCTCGTCGATTTGGCTGATTTTTGGCATGTAGTCTTAGAATGGTTTCCTAAATACTGAATGCATATGCTAAGGTTTGAATTCTCTTTGGTTCCAAACATACAAGAATGACAGTTTTGACAAGGCCTCGAGGGGCCGCCATGTTGGTGAACTGAAGGACGTTTACGATAATTAATTCTAGCTTTATCATTAAAATAACGTAATCGTGACTCATACAGTGGCAAAGAATTATGCGTCCTCCTTTCATTTATCTACTTTTATCCGAAAATAGTTTAGCCATTATAACGGTTATAACTTCTCACAGCACTTTTACGGTACTTAAAGGGACAGTGTCCCGATTATGCGCACGCGCGGGCGTCATCTGTTTTTTCTTTAAAAGACAATAGAACTGTCAAATTGACTCGACGAGATTTCCTTCCGGACCGCACCGCCGACAGAGATTTGTTGTTTATATTCTCAAGTAATATTTTAGACTTTCGAAGACGTCTTTCGTCTTATATAAAAATTTGGCTCGCGGTTCGAAGACTCATCGCGATTTTATCGCTAGCTGGGTCGCCTCGCGACCCGAAAATCTCGTTCCGCTCGCTTTAAAAACATATTTTCTAATTTGAAACTCGTGTCAGAGGTCAATCGCTCCAAGTCCAGTAATATTTGCCTGATTTGCTCGCGTTCTAGCCTCAAACGTTTGAAAGACATAAATAAAAATGCAATCTCAACGCTATGAATCATCACAAAGGTTAGTCAAGAATGATATTATGATTCATGTCACCAGTTTTTCAAAACGTGTAGCGCCTGTTTGGTCGATTTTGTCGGCCGTACGGAGATTCATTTAAAAGTTTACTGACGCGTCGTTGCAAAACATTCTGCTTCACGAAGCTCCCCTCCACAAGATCTCCTCAGTCACATCAATGTCTCAACGGTTTCTTTCTTACAGTCTTTATTGTTGCTGTTTCATTTCTGCGTATTCCTTTCACAATTATCTGAGCTTGTATGGAAGCTAGCAGAAGAAATAAGCCTTCAATCGGCATCAAAGTGCTTCCAATCTTTTGGTCCTCCGGCAAACGGCAATGAAAGTAACGCCAAAAAATCCAGATTTTGCCCAAATCGAAACTTAACAGGAACAATATATCATTGATCTATAATCCTGAGAAGTTTTAGTGTCGTATTGAACCCGACCAAGCGCGATGCAAACGGATTTTTCAAGATTATCTTACTCTCCTCGCATCTTTTGATTTCGCGACATCCTGTCCAAAAATCAAAATTTGGTGCATGCGCAGTAACGGGATACTGTTCCTTTGAAAGGTGCACAAATTTTGTAGAAATAGGAAGGCCAGTATCACCCATGCCACATCGATTTAGAGTAAGCCATTTTCACTAAACATAGTTTTTTTATAGATAAGTTAGATTGTTGAATAAAATAATTGGGCAAATGTAACGGAGCAGACCTGCAATTGCTTGATTTGAACAGATAAAG